ACGGCCCGTAGAATTAATTAGCTTTCATCCGACCTGCGGCGAAAATGGCAGTCACGTGTAATAATCCCCCACCGGTTCTAAGACGGCGACGACGTTGAACCTTAAAATCAATTTTGAAGAGAAAAAAAAACCGTCAAACCACCCGCAACGGAAATTAAAATGACATAAATTGAACTGCTTTAACAACAAAAAAAAAAATATCCGTCGAAAACTCTCGTCAGGCAGACGACAATCGTCGACCCGAATGTAATCTGTTGAAATATTTTGTCATTCGCCTGAAACGTGTCCAAAGTCGAATCAATGTACAAGACATTTGTACATAAGACGGATCACTATGTGTTTTCGTACTAAAAAAAAAAAACTCTTTTTCTTCAAATTGAAACTTGAAGTTTTTTCAATAACTTTGCCAAGACATTGCGAAAATAATTACTAATACTATGGCGCGACCATCATAGTTTGCAACAACAGTCCATTTGTATTGTACTTAACAAGTAATGAATACGAAAAAAATATAAAATGTAATAATAGACCGACAACGAATTTTATAAACAAGAGTATGATTTATTTATTTATAAGAGTAACGCCCCGCAAGGGGCAATGAGTACAGACGCAGAGGCCTTTCATATTCATTTCAAGTGCCACAAAACGTATACATTTTCTTTGGATTTTTTCAATTTTGTCGATAAGACCAGCCTGATTGGTGTTCCATACTACCGATGGGTGGCCTCGATAAAAATATATTTGCTTGCATTTGCCTTCGTTAACTGATAAGCCATTTATCTCACACCACACTATAAACCTGTTAACATCCTGTTGTAACTTCGGAAATCATCAAGTGATTTGATTTTCATAAACAATTTGAGTTCATCAGCAAATAATAAAAATGTGCAGTGCTGAAAAACCAGACCTAAATCATTTATGAAGATTAAAAACAAGATTGGAGATAAATGGCCGCCTTGAGGCACGCCAGAGTTAACTAAAATAGGACTTGATAGAGTATTAGATACCTTAACTATTTGAGATCGACCAACCAAATAATAAGATACCCATTTTAGCATATTACCACCAAGAGCAACTAAGCCTAATTTATTGATCAATGTCCTGTGGTCAACCGTGTCAAATGCTTTTCTAATGTCTGTATATATGGTATCAATTTGATGATTTTTGGCTATGTTATCCACTAGGAACTGATAAAAGTGGACAAGATTTGTATTAGTAGATTTATTTTGTCGAAACCCATGCTGCTCACTTATTAAACTTTGATTTACTAAATTTGAGAGCTGTGGTTCAGCTAACTTTTCCAGTAATTTGGGTAATGAACTAAACTTAGAAATAGGTCTATAATTCAAGACTGAAGAGCGGTCTCCCGATTTCCAGATTGGTGATATTATATAACTTACCTTCCAGGCATCGGGAAAAATACCAGACTGTAATGACCAATTGAATAACCTACAAATTGGATAAGCTAAAGCATAGCGGCTATTTTTCAAAAACAAGGCAGGTATTAAATCAGGACCGGGTATTGGGTCTTCATTTAACTGTTCTAAGCTATGAAAAATTTCCGATAATGAAAATTGGCATTCAAATAAATTGATGATACCAATTACAACTTTATTTATGAGATTAGAATCCCGCGCAGGAGCATATACAGAAGAAAAATATTTTTTAAATAAATGAGCAATCGATTCTGAGTTATCAGCCTGATGATTTTCTAGATACATTATATCGGCCAATTTATTATCATTTTTACGGTGTTTAATAAATCTCCAAAATTCCCGTGGATTATTTTTTTATAGCTTCAAGTGAACACATCAAATTGATCACGTGTTGTACCGACTTTGGAATGTCGAAAAATTAAAAAGGGTTTTTTTAGTTAATACAGTTATTAAAAATCGTGTAGTACTTACAATTAATCCATAAATCAGCGACTGATTTGCCTACTGGAATTTGGTAACGTTTACTGTTTACCCGGCAAAAGGTATTATTTTACAGATAAGTTGTAATTATTGGCTAGTTTCAGTATATTGTATATTTGAAACCGATTTGCTTTTACCGTATTATGACCAAAAATATTCGTCGTAAGAAAAATAATCACTTATACGACGGCCGCGTAACAACATTATAATATTATTATCTATTTAATATAACATTATTTTTACATAATATTTTTGTCAAAGTTCATCGCGGTTACTGAACTTCCTAAAAGAAATAAAAAATCCCATAACTCACTTTTAGTGCACATAGTTAAGTTTATGATTTTGTGTCACGAATTATATTATCCCTCTAATCTATGTGACTTTATTATATTTAAGTCATCGTATAACATTATTAATGGAAAATAATATACAAATTTGTGTGCAATCAGAAAGCACCAATCTAAAATTAATTTAAAAGCAAACAAATAGTTGTCTCAACGTTATTCTTTTTAGTTCACCATTATAAGTGGGAATTCATAATTAGTATAAACTAAAAATTATACTTATTTAATATTACAAAACAAAATATTAGTTATTCTATCAAAAACGTATTATGTATAATTACAGTTTAGAAAAACCCGTGTTCTATAAAACGACCACCGACGCAAAATATTAATTCCATCTAATACCCATCTTAAGTGTTTATTTACAGCTTGGCATTTTCTTCCTTTTTATAGACCTCGTGAAATACTGCCCGAAATTTCCATCATCAATAGACATACACATTAATCTATTACAAAACTCTGTCCCTAAAACCAAGATTGATTTCAATGTGCCCATTACACATGGCGTCGAGACGAATTCAATTAATGCCGGGCTTAGACGAGATTCAAGTCACTTGTGAGTGTTCTTTATAATATACATTTAGTTCAATAGCAATTGGCAATGTGTAAAACAACACTCAACGAGAGCCCCCTGAGGGTTCATTGACGCGCATAGACGGTTTGATAAAAACAATCGTTTGCACAGCGTTTGTTGGCGTATTAGCTGTTATAATAATAATTATTATTGTACGTACAAAGTGTTGATGTTGCTCTTTTTGTATCACAGTATAACCGTTTAATATTGGGCTGTGATTTTTAATAAATACAACCGCTAATAACCTACCGTGTTAAATGAGAATACGAAATAGCACGTGTAAAAAAATATAAGATAAATCTCAAACCGTGAAAAAAAAACTACATATTATTTTAATGCACGTAGTGAATAGGACAAACAACTTGTTTTTGAACTAAGGAGATACAATCATACGTGTCGGTTTGCAAACGTCTCAGACTGGGATTTTCAAGTACATCTCTTGACATATTACACACGCTTTTCAAAGACCCTAGATGTCAATTCCCGTTTTCATTTTGACACCAACTGCAACCCGTAGAGCTTACGTTCAAATCAAGGTAAACAATTATTACTGGAGTGTATAAAATACTATTTTAAATTTTGTCTTTACGAATGTATTTTAACAGTCTTATATTATTTTCAACAATACAGGGTGATTCATTAATGATAAGACACTCAATATCAATTAAAAACATTGCAATTTTGTAGTGTTTCTTCTTGAAAAAATTTTTGTTTACGTTATTTTACAAAATCATTAAATTACTAAATATTTTCATTTTTTTTCAGATCTCTATCAACTTGTGAAACTTAAATAGTGACGTATATATTTTATTAACTTAATAAGAATATTTTGCTCACAATTTTAACTGGTCGATAACCGTTTTCGGATGTTTACTTTTAAAGTTATTAAAGATTTAAATTTATGACGAGAGGAAGGGTAGATTGTAAAATTATTTTTATCTGCGAGCTTTAATCTATTACACTCCCACTCCCCTCTTATTGTAAAACAACATCTTCTAAAGTGTCTCCTAAAAGAAAAACTATAAAATTGCAATTATTTTAAGAGAATATGAGTGTGTTATCCTTAATCAATTATCCTTTGTAAGTACCACTTTTTTCAGCCGAGTAATTTAAAAATAATTATTATATTTCATGGTTAATAATATGCCCAAAATACCTAAAAATAAATAAATAAAAGTCAAAGGTAGTATAATAAAGTATTTAAACGGCTAGTTCAGTAAAATCAATAGAAAAATTGAATTCCATAACGGTAAGCAAACGTGAATAATTAATTCTTTAGAGTTCAACAGTTTTTTTTATGTGATTAAAAATATTAATATTATATATTATTATGATGGGGTGGCAAAAAAAGTGACGGACAACTTTAAACGTTATCATATTTAATGGATGGTTTTAATTAATAAAAATCTTTTGTTCTCAAAGTTCTAGCCTTTAGCGAAATATCTTTTGTGAGTACGAAAAAATAAAAAGTGCAAATTGATGACTCTTAGTTTGTGAGTTGTGGCAAATTTAAAAGTCTGAACTGTGTAGGTACAAGAACCAACGGCCGGCGCATTAAATTTGAAACTTCAAAGGGAGTTTGCCGTTTTCGTTGCTACGCCGTTGGGGGGGGGGGGGGTGAAGGGCGAACGTGTAGAAAATTAAACGGTTTGTGAGTGGAAAAGAAAATAGGTTTTTAAAAAAAAAACAAAACAAAATTCCTAGTGCTTTATATGGAAATCACTTAAAAAAATAAAATATTATTCATATAGACTTCGTCGCCGTTGTTATCGTTGCTTGAAGCAACTTGCTTCTATTATTGTATATTTTTTATTTTTCCGCCGTTATTTCTTTCTTTATTTAAAAAAAAAAAAAATGAATAAACGGCGAAAAAATATCGTATACTTTGCGATATTTTGGCGTCGGTTTAACCGCGTCGGATGAGCGATTATAGTTTTTTTTTTTTATATATATTGTTCTCGATGCTTCCGTTGAATTTAATACTCAATTAAAATGTAATTACTCGGGTAATTATAATAATTAGAATAAAAATCGATTTCCTATAGAAAACGTTAGCGTGTCGACGTCAGCCGTCAGATGGCAGGGCGGCGGCAGCGGCGGCGGCGACGTCTGTTCTTTATCCCTCTGTTGCCGCCGAAATGGTCCCTAAAAGCATGGAGAGTACCAAGTGCGCCGCCGTTGCCGGATGACTGTCGAGCGTGTCCCCCGTGTTTCCCACAGGACGATTGCCGCCGATAACGCCGGGAATCGATGACGACAATTAATATTGCGCAAAACTAACGTACGCATAACAATAATAATTAAAAATTTTTTTTTAAAAAAACCGTTTAAATATCGCGGTCTGTTCTATATGGCGTCCCGCCGGTGGCAAACGACCTGCCGGTGTGTGGTCACGGTGTCGGCGATCCTAGTGTCCGCAGCCGTGGGAATAGGTGAGTGAAAATATTACAAACGTTAAACACACAGCAGTGCACACACATCTCGTCGAAACCGACAAAAAAAAATATCTCCCAGATTAAAAACTTCATAACTCCTCCGGACGTCTTGATCTAAAAAAAAAAAAAAAACTCAAACGACCCTTGCGGGGTTATATACTATTATAAAATAAACCCTTAACCGCAAAAACCTAATACGTGTCTTCGCCATTCACACATCTCTTTTGACAATACATTTATTCGAAAACCTCAAACCTACACTTATTTCAATCCCCTTCCAATCAATTCGTTTATCGACTAATGCTCCGTTACATGTACTCTACTGTAAAACATTATTCCAAATCTAATACTATAAATCATCCGAATCCACTGATGTCTAATCTTTCTTCCCGGATAATCTTTCTAATAAGTTAAATTTGTCAAATTGGTCACGTGACCTACCAGAAGAAAAAAATACACAATAAAATAAGTCGAAGCAGTGTGACTGGACGCCCCCTACCGTCTCGTTGTCCTATTGACTGTGCATATTTGTCCCTACATTTTCTTATTCAATTTTTTACTACATTTTATTTTTCTAATTGTAAAAAAAAAACATTTATATATATATTAGTGCACATTGACGGCTAGGTTCGGCCAATGTCAAATTCAACACTCGTGTAATTGTCGTAACTCGGAAACAATCCGATAATAATTTAGGCTTTATGTAGTACATTTTTAATAAATAGATGTATGTGTTAACATGAGTTACCAATGAACGCTACAAAATATAAGCGCATAGGCTTTGCACAAATCCAATATTATAACCGCACTCTTTTGTGAAAACTAAATCAAAGGGTAGCCCTATTAGTAATTTTAACAATATTATACCTATTCCCAGTATTATTATCCCCAATAATTTTCCATGGTTATTAAGTTTTAATAACGTATAGGCCGCCGTAGTACCCATCTATGCTATTGAAACTTATAATTGAATTAAAAAATAAAATAGACCATTGTATTATTATACTTAATTATGTAGATATATTTTGTTATTAATATACTGCAAGCTAAAAGTAATTTTCATCGCTAATTGACATAATTTCTCATGTAAATCATAGTACCGTGTTAAATAATATTGTTGCTTTTTACTGGTTTTGCATAGTCATGTAACAATTCAAAACAAAAGTAATACACGCCAAGGCTAATATTTGTATAAAATATACATTAAAATATATTGAACCTATAATGAAAATAAAAAAGTATTCTTTTATAATTATTATTATGGCTTGTCAAAAATGCGTTTTTCATCCTATTAAAGATACAACTTGAAGTTTGTTCTTTATTTCTTCAGTGTTATTATATTTTCACTCGAATCGCTAATTCTTCGAAAAAAATTAAAAACCTTCTTTTTACCATAATAAACCTTTTTCTTTTGAATAAACGTAAAATGTTAAGTAGGTACATGATCGTTAGCCGTTGGTCGGTGCATTAATTTACTTGATAACTTCTACGTAGACGTTGGAATTCATTAAGTAAATTGGCGTGTAAAATATACTGGAAAAGTAAAATGTAAAGAACAAAATTCAAAGTGTGTTAAAGAGCAAAAAACAGTAAAAAATGTCTATGGATTTTAATAACTCTTGACTTATCCTTTATACCCCTTTCTCGGGTTTTAATTAGGACTTTTTATCATGGAAAATTTTAAAAATCAACATACAGTTTTAGAATAGTTTTACGGGGGTTTCTTTCTTATTAATGCATCTAATAATCACTATACATTTTCCCCCCACGAGATTCTATCATTTCTCAAAGACAAATCTGTGGATAGTATACAAGTATCAAAGCTACATATAAATATGTATAAAGCCACCGGCGGAAGGTGTTAAAATATAAATATCCTACTATTGTGTATGACATGATCAATAGTGGTGGTACAATAATCATATTTTAAATAAATCTACACGTGTAAGCCCCAATAACCATAGTAAATATAAAAATATGTATTTTACCGCGTAGCTATTCGAGCTGAAAAGGTATTTTTATTATGCGGAAGTCAACGGAATCCCGGTACAACACATAGCAATACAGACACAGTTTTTGCGAGAACTCGACAAAATGTTTCAAACTTGCCTAACGGTTGGAATAATATTTTTTTTTCTTTTTATTCTCAACACAAAACGTCTCCGAAGAATAATAATCTCGGCAACAAAACGAAAAAAAAAAACAAACCGAGTAGTATTCGTCGGGAACCATTGTTTCGTGTTTCTATTGACCTCGGGCCATAATATTAGCCAATGAACACGGACGAGGTTGTGATTGTTTAATCATTTATCTTGTTCCTCCGAACTAAAAATTATTTAGTACACTTCCATTTCGATTGAGAATGAAACTTAACAGCCGACGACCGATCGATAAATTATTGGTCGCAGAGCCCCCCCAGGCGTTTCTACCGTCTCTGGTGAAACTATCAACATGTAACAGTCTACACTAATCAGTAATGGTTACAGTTTAGTTTATAATTGTATTATGCTGCGTCGTGTAGCCATAGAAGTTTTGATTGCAAAGTCCAAAATCCGCTACAGAGACATGTTATGCAGGCAGTCGTTTAAGTGAGTTACAAGCCGTGCCGTTTGAAGCACAGTCCAAGTACATACACTTTGTCGGCTGACGCCGCGCGTATTATGTTAAGGTTTTTATCAAATATCTTACCAAACGCAACAGTGACGGCGATACGCCTCCGTGCAACGGTCGAAGCAAAGATATTTCATTATTATATTGTACCTTATAGTATCTACAAAAAAAAAAAAAAAATATATGCATACGTTTATTGTAGATTTCCGGTTTTGTATAGCACTATAACGTTTTTAGTTTGAACTGTTCAGCTGTACCTAACACGAAAAGGCTGTGAGTGAAAAGACGGCATGGTGACTTCGGTACACATTTTACTATATATATACACACACATACATTACAACGGCCTTTCTTCGAAATAACAAAAATAGGTGTGCATTACACATAGTAGTCCCGGTTAAAATGTTGAATGTCATTTTCACGTGTGCAGAAACGACTTAAAATGATTTAAGAGACATAAGTTGTGTAACGAGCACACAAGAAGGCGCCCCTTGTTTGTGTACTGTGTAAAGGGCAGTTTCCACAATCATTTGGGCGGGAACAGCAAAATATAATAATATGTTTCCCCACACTCAAATCTCAGCACTTGGATAATTATTCAGAAAATCTAATCGCATTATGTATAAGGAACACTTTGACTTTGACTTAAAATATGTCCTACGTCCATCATACAAGAGCACAAAATATTATAAAAATAATAATATATAAATTGATCAAATTACGATCCATAAATAATATCTTTGACAAAACTATTTTTCGCAATTTCGCACTAAAAAGAGTTTAGGGCATTCACCATGACGACATTTTCCGGTTGACAATCAAATGCGACCGACTTGGTTTTATTTAAGTTTGATGTGTAATTAAAAAAAAACAATATTATATTATTTGGCTATTTCTGTTTGTTTATTTTAATTATTCTAAAATATAGTATTTTTTTTTTAACTTACCCATCTAAAACCACCCAATACGACTGACGTATATTAATCACCACGACAGTTTACAACTTAATGCCTTACACAGTGCATATTATTGTATAAAATATATTTAATAGAAATAAACTGAACAGTTGTACGAAGAAAAGGATAATATGAAGTTATTTTTTAATAACACAAAAAAAAAAACATTTTTTTGGATTTTCAATTTCGACGTTAATAGCGCGATAAACACTAGATTTTCATTATCTAATTATGTACGACATTGAACTTAAATTGTGCTGCTGATACTATGTATTGATCTTTAACACATTATGTCACCCTTGGGCGAAGTAATAAAAATATTTTCGTAGACGTCTTAATAGGCTATTTAAACTTTTATGTTTGCGGTAGTACCCTCGATTACATTATGGTCGGGAAAAGGGCCGAGGGTCGATCTTTAACAACTGTTCTTTGGTAAACGCCTTTGAGCCACATCGATTGCATTGTTATACCGCATGACGACGGCAATGGGTCCAGTAGAGCTGAAACAGCGCAAAATTCGTATAATTAAATGTAAATATAGTGGCAAAGGGACGTTGAAAGTTTGCTGATATAAAACGCAAATATTTTATCTATGTGTGCATTATCATAATCTAATAATGATGCTTTGTTTATTTTGTAGCCTGCGTATTTTTCAACAACGCTTTGCTAGATACTTTGAGAATTAAAAAAAAAAAAAACTGTACAGTTCGTTTTTATGAAATTACAGCTAGCAATATTGGATAATGTGCAAGACAAACAGAACCGATGTTTGGAAATTTGTGTTAGAACCATATTTTATTTTTTTTTTCACTAAACTTGCATAAAAGTAATTTATTAACGTTTCGAACGGATATTGTATATTCATATTTCATAGTATATTTACGGTTTTGATTCCGGATAGAACATGTTGTAATTTTCTAAAAACACAAGCCGAGATTGTTAGAAGTGCGTTTGTATCTGCATCAAGCGTGTTGTGATTTTAATTGAATTTTTGCGAATATTACCGAATAATAGTCAATAAAGTCCAAATATACAGGTCGCATAAAATCAATAATTTACAAATTGGTTATATTTGATGTAATTATTATTGTAATCGGCAAATGTTTATTCGTGCGTTTTCATTATTTTCGTTTCCGTTAATTGTACAGTTGACGAGCTAGTTATTGATTAAGTGTGTATTATAAATTGTTATTCATTCGGCCACTCCGTACAATAGCGTTTTTTTTTTTAACGGTAAATGACGTTGTTTTTAACGCACACTTTGTGTTTCTATTATGCTGTTAACACGCGCTATTTTACAACGCATTAGCCTTTTTCTATACCATTAAAAATTAATACCAGTATAATATGCTCGGTAGCTGCTGGCTAGGTGTATACATTAACACACATCACACCGTGATTAGTATTCAATGCTGGTGTAGTAAAAACAAT